AACTTAAAGGGTTTGTAAAATAGTATAGCCGGGCGGCTATACATTAAAAAAAATTAAAAACCTGGGTATAGCCGTTCGGCTGTACTATTTTTTATACATTAAAAAAAGAGGACCCTGTCATTAGGCGCCACAAGTCAAGACAATTCTACTTTTTTAATAAACTTAAAACACAGAGTATCGCCGCGCGGCTGTACTAAAGAAGTTGGCAAAAAAACAAAAGTAAAGAAACTAATTTTATATTTCAAAAAAAATAACATAAACACTTCTCCCGACGAAATTTCGTCGGCATAGGTCTATGCCGGCAAATATTTGTCGGATTAGATTTTTCCCGACAAAAGAACCTTTGCCGACAAACTTTCGTCGCGAGAGGTCTAATAGACTTGTGCCGACGAAATTTTGTCGGCATAGGTCTATGCCGGCAAATATTTGTCGGATTAGGTTTTTCCTGACAAAAGAATCTTTGCCGACGAAATTCCGTCGCGAGAGGTCTAATAGACTTGTGCCGACGAAATTTCGTCGGGAGAGGTCTTTTTTAACAAAAATAAAAATGAACTTAGGATGTTTAGGTTTATGAATTTTTTAAAATTTTATTTGTAGTAATTAAATAATATATTTGACTGATTTAATTTGTTAAATGAGTAATTATATTTTAATTATTATTTATTTAGTGAATAATTAGTATTAAATATTTTAATTAACTTCATGAATTATATTACTTAATAAATAGTAATTAAAATTTTCTTTTTCTTTTTTTCCTTCAATATTCACTATGTGAATAATAACGAAAACATAATTACTAATCCAAGTAATTAAAAAAGAGAAATACATATTATGCAACTTAAAGGGTTTGTAAAATCGTATAGCCGGGCGGCTGTACTTTAAAAAAAAATTAAAAACCTGGGTATAGCCGTTCGGCTGTACTATTTTTTATACATTAAAAAAAGAGGACCCCTGTCATTAGGCGCCACATGTCAAGACAATTCTACTTTTTTAATAAACTTAAAAACACAGAGTATCGCCGCGCGGCTGTACTAAAGAAGTTGGCAAAAAAACAAAAGTAAAGAAACTAATTTTATATTTCAAAAAAAAATAACATAAACACTTTTCCAGACGAAATTTCGTCGGCATAAGTCTATGCCGGCAAATATTTTTCGGATTAGATGTTTCCCGACAAAAGAACCTTTGCCGACAACATTTCGTCGCGAGAGGTCTAATAGACTTGTGCCGACGAAATTTTGTCGGCACAGGTCTATGCCGGCAAATATTTGTCGGATTAGGTTTCTCCTGACAAAAGAATCTTTGCCGACGAAATTCCGTCGCGAGAGGTCTGTGCCGGCTATACTGTTTTAAAAAAATTAAAAAACTGGGTATAGCCGTTCGGCTGTACTATTTTTTATACATTAAAAAAAGAGGACCCCAGTCATTAGGCGCCACGTGTCAATACAATTCTACCTTTTCTAATAAACTGAAAAACACAGAGTATAGCCGCTCGGCTGTACCAATGTTTTTTTTTTTGTTTTAAATGGACCCTCCAGCGATTAGACGCCACGTGTCACTATACTATTTTTGAAAAAAAAAAATCATTGTATAGTTGTGACTATACTATTCTAAAAAATCTATCTATACTATTTAATATATAAATTAAAAAAAGAAAAGAGGACCCTCCAAGTTTCATCAGTTTGTACTTTATAGATATTAATTTGCTAGTTTCAACATATCCAAAGTAGATATTAATAAGCCACTATATAATATTTTAGTATAATTTTTATAACATATATTATTCGTATTCAATAATATGTGAGAATTATTTGTATAATATGTGAATTTTGTGTGAATTACTAAGAATTTTCTAAAAAATATGTGTATTAAGCTTTAGAAATACGTATGTACATGTTCAATACGACTATTGTACGTTTGCTTTTTGAAAAACAATAGACATGTATAGAATATGAATGTATTATTGGGAAATATGTACGTACATATATATAAAAGACTGTAGCCGCTCTTGGGCTCGGGGGAAGTTTAATTTAGACACCCAAACGAAAATAAGTAATTTGTTTTTTTTGTTTTTGCACAGAATAATTTAAATTAAAAAGTATAAGATATTAATTAAATTATAGAAGTCGGCGAAAAAACAAAAGTAAAGAAACTAATTTTATATTTTAAAAATAACATAAAAAAATAAGATAAACACTTCTCTCGACGAAATTTCGTCGGCATATGTCTATGCCGGCAAATGTTTGTCGGATTAGGTTTCTCCCGACAAAAGAACCTTTGCCGACGACATTTCGTCGCGAGAGGTTTTTTTTAATAAAAATAAAAATAAACTTAGGATGTTTAGGTTAATTAATTTTTAAAAATTTTATTTGTAGTAATTAAATAATATATTTGACTGATTTAATTAGTTAAATTAGTAATTATATTTTAATTATTATTTATTTAGTGAATAATTAGTATTAAATATTTTAATTAACTTCATGAATTATATTACTTAATAAATAGTAATTCAATTTTTCTTTTTCTTTTTTTTTTCCTTTAATATTCACTATATAAATAATAACTAAAACATAATTACTAATCAAAGTAATTAAAAAAGAGAAATACATATTATGCTGCTTAAAGGGTTTGTAAAATAGTATAGCCGTTCGGCTATACTGTTTAAAAAAATTTAAAAAACTGAGTATAGCCTTGCGGCTGTACTATTTTTATACAAAAAAAAGAGGACCTCAATCATTAGGCGCCACGTGTCAAGGCAATTCTACTTTTTTAATAAAATTAAAAACACAGAGTATAGCCGCCCGGCTGTACTAATTTTTTTTTAAGTCGGCAAAGGTCTATGCCGGATTAGATCTCTCCCGACGAAATTCACCTATGCTGACGGATTATCGTCGGGAGAGGTCTATCTGGCAAAGTTTCGCTGGGAAGTATTTGTGCCGACCGCATTTCGTCGGGAGAGGATTTAAAAAAATAATAATTTAAACTTAGTATCTTTAAGTAAATAAATTTTTATTTTAAATCTTTATTTAGTAATTAAATAATATCTTAGCCTTATTTAATTATTTTCATTAATAATTATTTCTTTAGTGAATAATTAGTAATAAATATTTTAATTAACTTCATAAATTATATTACTTGATAAAGCAGCATGGCTATACCCGGTTTAACCTAAAAGCCAAAAACACATGGCTAATAGATGATCTCATTAAGAAAAAAAACAAAAAAAAAACCATGTTTCCGTTGTAGGTTTTTCTCTCTTTTCGTGTATAATTCGTTGCCTTTTTTAGACTACCATGACAGTTTGTGCAATTGCGGAAGAACTAAATGTTGTACTTGCATCTGTTTCTTGGATTGGAAGAAAATGGAGCAATTCTTTGAAGACCTTTTTATTTGTTCTTCTTCTACAGATATGCTGCAGAGCTTGGATTTGAATCAGATCCAAATTTTTCTGCAAGAGGTTTGAGAATTTGGATTTGAATTATTAGTTTCATTTCAATTTGGCTTAGAGTGGTTGGTTTTGTCGGAAAAAAATCAAAGATGCAATGTTAAGGTCTGTACTCCTATGTTGAATGTCCTATTCGAAACTTTGGTCACTGCAATGAGAGTGTGTAGTCAAAACAAATGAAGTCATCAAGCCATGAAGAGTTTCAATTCATGAGGATTTAAAATCAAATGATTGAAAGCAAGCAACAACTTTTACTCATCAATTAATACAAAATCCAACAGAAAAATTTAGAATACCATTATGACAAAATTAGACAAATTCAAATTTGAAAAACTTCAATCATTGACAAGAAAACTGCATCCAGATTCTCTGTAGATCAAGCAAACAAATCAAACTTGCAGTTAAATTTTCCACACCATATCTGATTCAGTAGCTTAGATGCACAATGATCCTCAGCAATGTCTCAGCACCATCAGTGACATGTTGACCAGGAGGTATAAGGGACCTAACCTCAGCAAACCCACTTGCACCCTTGAATTTTCCAGTGCCTCCTGTCACTGACAAATGTGACATTGGGCTTCCAATTTTGAATATGCCATAGAAGTTTAAGGTGTCACCATATTCACCACCTTCAATCATGGCTGTGAAAGCCATCATCTGTGTGGACCCATCAGCTGAACTTGCCACATAAACTCCTTGAGCCTTCCCAATTGTCTGTGAGCCCAACTCAGGTGCTGTGGTCAAAATATCATCAATGACTGTGATGGTTCCAAAGCCCAGGCCCAGCCCATCAGGGCCCAACTGGGTTTGGGCCTGGCCACTTGGTTTTCCTGAAAATGTTGTGCCAGCTAAGCCAGTGCCAAGTGGAATGCCATTGAGGCCATTGACAGTTGGGAGGGCACCATTGGCATTGGGGATGGCCACCCCACCTTGTGGGGGAAGGAACCCTATTGGCTTTGCAAAGGGCACTTGCCCTCCATAGATGTTGCCAAGTAGGCCAGTGATTGGCCTAGCTGTAGGGCTGCTGCCCCCAAGAATATCATGCATGTACATCTCAAGAATTGGCTCATGCCCACTGGCTTTGACTGGGTCAACTGCTGTCTTGACCAGCACTAGATGCACTGAGGCAATTAGCATAGTGAGGAAAATGGAACAAACTGGTGATTGCTTCAACATCTTGAAAGTATCTCTGTCTCTTGATGAGTTCTAAGGATTTGATTTGTAGAAGGTCTTTTGGTGAGTGTTCAATTGGGTAATGGCTCCTGCTTTTATATAGAAAGTAGAAAAGGTCTAGTGAGAAAGCATGCTATTATTCTGTTTTAGGAAATTCTAGACAGCAATTAACTCTTATAAATTAAGCTAAAAAGGTTGCTACTAGTGGTTGAGAGGTGATGTATATGGGTTTGACTGCATTATAATTAGAAGGAAAAAAGAGAAATGAAACTTTTGATCTACATATGGGTTTGACTGGATAGCAGTGGGAGAATATGCCAATAGTGCATTGGGTGCAACCAAACCAGCAATTATCACAGACTAATGAAAGAAAATTGACCTGATGATGACATACAATTGTTTTCATGCAAGTCAATGTGGCAGAACTGATTAATAATATAACCTTATGAGAAATGCTAACAAATTATGTCGAAAAATTTCACAATTTGACTTCTCACAATATGCCAAACACATTAGATAAGTCATCATGTGGTTCACTTCACATGATTAATCCTCTTCATAAAACCATGGTATTTTCTTCATCTTCTGATGTTTCAAGGTGCAAAATATGTGAATACTCAATTGCAGGGATCTTCTTCTTGATTTTCCAACAATGGAATATTAAAGACTTATTTTTCTCTGCTCCTTTGGTGACTGGTTTGAAGAATAATTGATACAGAAAGAATAATGACCATGTAACAGGTAGCAAGGAAGATCTGCAACATTTTCCATAATCAATCATGGCACAGCTGAGTTATCAATCTCCTGCACAGGCTCTTCATGATCCATGACTTTGGACTGCCTCAGAACCGGGGAAATCAACGTCCATACTGCATAAAAAAATTGGAAGAAAATCAAAGATAGAACAGATAAAAAGTTGTTCTGATTTCCGTATCATTCCAAGAAAACACAAATTCAATTGAACCAAGATACAAACCAATATTTCACAATCTTTCAAGTTATCTGAAAAAAGTTGTTTTACAATTTCGGCATGGTAACTTGTAGTTCAGCCAAGTTTTGAGAAGGGTTGCTAGTGCACCTTTAGAAGAAAATCAAAATGGCTATATTGTGATGTTACTCATGCCAAATATTGAGTAGGGCATATTATGACAGAAGTTGATTATGGCAGACTACAGTGTATTATCAGATTTTGCATGTAGAGAAATAAAACTCAACACAGGAAAAACAATCCTTGTTCAGAAGCAATCCAAATAGGAACTCATATACACCGATTTACTTACGAAATATTGAGGCTGCAAACCATTCGTTGACAATTTTTACCCATGTACTAGTCCACCCAACATCAATGCTCCACCTGATTGTTTCAGAATGTTACGTACACCGATCGAAATTATATGAAATGAATATTTTCAAACAGAGATATCTAAATGACAGGGGACCAGATAGTTTGGTTTCTTACTTCTTAGCTGAGTTATTGAGGTTCCAACTGATGAATAGCATTGCAAAATACATGGCCCCCAAGGAAAATGTTAGGTGGAAAAATCCATACTTGTAAGGGATGTCATCATCCTCTTGAACTTCATCTTTTTGAAACTAAATAGCATGAGAAGTACTTGTTAGTTTTTGGCTAAATAACTGGAATTAAGATCCTGGCTGCTTTTAGCAGTCAGCAAGAAACATCCCTGCATATTTCACACCTACTCCCTCTTTTGTCTATGAATAGAATCTATGTGTCTGAATTATTTAAGAACTGTGTCAGCGAAGCCATGTTGTATTAAACTCAGTTACAGGCAATTTTTGTTTTCCAGTGGCTCAAATCAATTAATGAAACTATTAAGCCTAGATTTTATTTTCTTAGCAACCAAATAAGGTTGGTATATTTCATTCTTTTAACATATGCAGAGAAGTTATTCACCTGAAATGACTGTGAATCTATCCCAGTTGAAAAGGTTGCCATAACTATAGAACATATTGCAATCAGGAAGCCCTGCAGGTAGTACAGTGTAACACAACATATTACCACTATGGAGATTAAAATTGAATAAATTTGGTGCATTTCATGGCTAAACTCATCTGTAGAAATTATCCAAACCGGCTTACACGGAAAGAATGCCAATATGTTTTTACACTGCACATCCCAAAGGTACCTAGACGATGTGGGGCTATTGCTAACAGTCATTTCATCAGTGTCTGGAAAATGAGTTCTGATTAGAAAATGAGGATACTTTTCTTCAACTTAGAAGGATAATGAAGGAACCAGAAACTTTTCTAGTGCTCAAAGACTAAATAGTGCTGGAATTTTTTTCCCAGTTTACTTTATCTATATGTAGCAGTTGTTTTTTCACACTGTAGCAGACTACCAGTATGAGAGCATGTTCAACCCAAAACCGACCATCATTAACTGATGCTTCTATGCTAGTTTTTTCGGTGCTGGATTCTTTTAATATGTTTTGCATATGCTTGTGTGACAAAAACGCGTCTATAAAATATCATTCAATAAATGGAACTTATAGAGGCAAATAAAAAGAAGAAAAAAAGTCAACTCTTACTAGCATGGTACTCCAATCACCATTTCCATTCCCTTGTTTTTGTCTGTTGCATTCCTCATTGGCAGGTTCACTGAAAATCCATGTATTAAAACCAGAAAAGTAACATTACACATCTTGATCAAATTTTTTAAGTTGCAAAGGACAACGCATGGTAGATGATGAAAGCCTATAAAGAAACAGATGCTAGTGCATTTCTCATTTCAAAGATTTTCGATGTTTCATTTGCCTTCAGTGTTAGCTAAAACAAATACAACCAAAATTTGATATACTACTCAGTTTAAATTAAACCTACTTAGAGACCTTTATACATACATAGCATAATTTTATGAGCAGTCACTTGCTAATATGTTGAATGAACCATGAAACTATCTGGATTTACACCAAAATTTTACCTATAATTGTTGCTCAATGCACAACAAAGAGGATGTAAGAATAATAAAAAAAACATTTTGATAGAAAGTTCGGCTGAATCTGAATTAGCAAGTTATACTTGATGTATGGATGAAGTCCCAACCTTCTGATAGCAGACCAGCATAGGAAAACAATGTATGAAGCCATAATTCCTGAAGATAAAAGACCTCTGTTTACCTGTATTAAGAAGGAAAACGAGAATCTATTCTTAACTCGACTGATAATGCAATATTCGAGTAACCAAAAAACTAAAAAGGAACACGAATCGAAGTTGATAAGTAATTAATTTACATCAAATGGAAGTGTTTTGAAGAGCACTGTATACCTTCGAATGTAGCGATATAACCATCATTACGATAAGTAGAATTGTAGTCCATGTGATAAAAAATATGTTGAGAGCACATGAGGATTTCATCGCATGTGATGAGTACATAAATGCAATTCCACTCATCGAAGCAATGTAAAACAGTGTAGACATGAATAATCCAAGGGAGCAGCTGTAGAATATAAAAGAAGATCTATTAAGTGCATTTATCACCAAGAGAAGAAATGAAGGCTAAAGCAATAGTTACAATGGTCTATTTCCTTATTGTGATCTTTACGAAGTCTTTGTTTCTATTTTGTATTAGGTAATATGCTGACCATTTTTTTCATTTTGGGATGACTAGTAATATGGTAGCCATCCAAAAATCTGAGCTAATGTCTACTTTTCCTGTTAATAAAAAGTCATACCTCTGCTTCTTTTGCTCATCGGGCATCCAGTACTTATTCCACCAATTAATAAACTGGATCACACTTATAAGTTGGAGAAGGAGAAAAATCCTGCCATGAGAAGCTAGCACAAACCAATGTTAGTAATGATATGAGCCGAACACTCAAAGCAAATAAACGTGCAAGTTCATGAACTAAAGAATATATTCTACTATACATGCTACACCTTGATTTCAGTAAAATGGAGGATTAAAAACAAGATTCTATTTCCAGACGCGACAACCCATAGGTATGTTCATTAGTTTGTTTTCCTTCTTTTTTTGTCTAAACATTGATTACAGGGTACTCCAGAACTCTCACACCACTCTCTGAAATTGTGTTGATTAAGCTGTCCCATATTGAGTTGATAGTTTCCACATCGGGGTTGCTTTTCTTTAGTCCTATTCAAATCTTAGAAATAATTCTCTCTAGAAGAAGGCAACTGATTTAGAAGTGAGGTAAAGAAAAACAAATTGTACTATGAGTTTGAGAATAGTGTTTCGTGTAATGATAAAAGAATTGCTCTTGCACAAATCATGATCTAATGTTTTATGCAACGGTGGAGCAGGTTAGAACAAAGCACTAAAGATGGCCTTATGCAGGCTAGCAACCAGTTCAAGCAAGTGTAGAATATATAAATGGCTTTCAAGGCATTTAAACAAAGAATTTGAAAGATTACCCTGCACCAACACGAGCAAATTCGCCTGTAAGAAAATAGGAAAAAACTTGTTAATTTGGAAATTCTTTTTCAAGATGCATCAAACAAGGAGGAATAGATAGGTCATGAGTGGTTTATTTGAAGGAAACTACTAATATCCATGGTAACAGAACCCCGGATATAGTAGATTATGTTCTTAGGCCTAGACTTCGTTTTTTTTTTCCCTGGTTTTTCTTAATTGACCATTGTATATACTTGTAAATATGATTGAAAAGAATAATGCATTGAAAGAGATTATTCTCATATGTTCTAACATCAGATGGACCAAGTAAGTCATGCTTCTTTCTCAATTGATGCATAAAGGACCAGTATGAAGAAAGACAAAAGAACATGGTATTAAATATGAAGTGTTTCGTGATTGACTGTCAAATTAACGTACCATATAATTGAACAGAATCTGAAGGAACGAAGAGTGGAACCACCATCGATATTAGTAATATGAAAAACTTCAATCCCCACCATCCAGAATGCCATGCATTGCGAGCTTCACATAGTTTTCTTGTTTTAGATGTAGTGAGGAACATTAGAAAGAAAAATATCTAATTTTGATGTTAAGGTTCACTCTTTGAGGGGACAGAAACAAATCCGTAGCTGAAAATGAATATTAACTTATATAGTAAAACGAGGATAATACAAGTTATAGGCCGTTATTTCGTTATCCATCCTATGATAACACATTTATCCTGCAAACACAAGATTTTGACTACATTATTTCTCCATCATCCTTAGTTTCCAACTGAGCTTTATGCTTAAGGGTACAGCGGTATTGGTTAACCAATTTATAAGGGGTTGCAGTTAAACTTAATCTTATGACTCAACCAGAAAAAAGATACAAAGCTTCCTAAACTCACACGAAGAACTCCCAGTGTATGAAAACAATCATTTCCGCCAGTTCCACAAGATTTCATATCTGCAAAAGAAATTTTAGAAGCACAACACAGAAAGCATCATTATATATACCTTTTCTAGTCTCCAATCATGTGTAAATGAATCACTTCCAATAATGTATGACAGGATTAGAATTTCAGTTTCTAAATGTTGTTCATGTGCAACGGAACATGACTGTGGAATTTAACATAAGATAAAGATCACAAGAAGTCTAGCAGAATCCGTAAAGTGAAACTACTTTAGAAGCTACATAGGGATATTGGCTTTGCAGAAGTCAGTTACTCACAGTATTTGAATTAGGAGCTTGTGATCTGTATAAAATTTGATAATGGTATGGACCAAACTTAAGTAAGAAGAAAATCCAGATCTTTTGAGAAGGGGAGAATAGTTACATACACTGGAGCTCAGGTAAAACCCTTTGCGCATAGTCACGAACAAACCAAGCCCAAAGATTTGTGATTAAGAAGATTACGCCATATGCATAACGTGCCCGCAGCGGCTTTTTCCTTTCGGCCAAGTAATCAATTCTCTTTCGCTCCAATGACTCAGGAACTACTTCCCAAGGAATAACCTCTACCATAGCTTCAACTGCTTCAGCAGATGCAATCATTCTGCAATTGAAAGCACTAAGATGTAACTTCACTGTTAACAAGTTTACACATTGTTCTCAAACTGGATGCGTAGCATAGAAAAATTTATGTAATTGAAAAGAAAATGGTAAAAAATTCGTCAATGTGCTATGATAAATGAAAATGCAGATTTTCTCTTTACTTTGGAAAACTTCATCCATCCAAAGTAAAAGAGTACTTCCACTTAGGTAAATTGAAAACCATAGATCAAATCGAAGTTGCTGAAAATGCATTGTATTGCATAGTTTATTTTACCGTTGCACTCTTTTCCTTACCTAGCTCTGAATGTCTTTTTAAGCATACAACTTCAATGTGGAAAGAGAGGAAGCTATAAGAAAAAGTAGACGAAGATGAAGAAAAACTTAACCAAACTCCCATTTTACATCACAATAGTAAAAATCAGAAAATCTGACAGTGCAGAACTCAAAATAATTCAAACTATCAAGCAAAACTGAGAACAAAAACTTCAAATTAATACTATTATCTGAGAACAATGAAGGAAACATGGAAAATTTCAGTATGTTAAGGCAGAAGAATTACCTTTTGAAGTGATACCCTTATCAGGAAATCAAATTTTATGCAGAAGAATGGACTGGAAAGTAGCCAGTACCAATGGGAACAAAACCAAGCAATAAATAGAAGCAATTCCTTCATGATAACAAAAGATTGTTGCAATTAGTTAATGATATCCAAAGAAGAAAACAGTTAACTTGTAGAGAGCAAAGGACTAACCTTTCACCATATATTTGAAGTGCAGTGTAAGGCTTTGAAATTGACACTGTTCAGTGCTCAGCAAGAATGAAGTGTCAAGGTCATTCATCACTTCTATATAAGGACTAAGTAGACTTCCCAAATATGCACAAGTAATATGAGTATGGTTTTGGCAAAAGGGTCATCAGAAGCAGACAGCTGTAACATATTAAATTGTTGCAGCACTCATAGCCGCTGATCCCATGAACCCTTTTCTAATGTCCTTTTATGTGATGTCAAGATGCCTTCTCCAGACATCTTAGAAACCAAGAAACCCCTTGAATAATCATTAAAAAATCTCAACATATAATATATTTGAGAGACTGAGAGCCCTTTTGTCTTCTCCCTTTTTGACAATTGGTATGAAGCATGCATTGAAAATCAGTTAACAGGCATGGCCTATACAGCTTATGTCCACACCTTGCATGCAACAATGTTCAATTAGACAGAAAACCCAGAACAGAAATATTGATAATAAAAAAAATCCTCCCAAGCCCACAAAAAAGTTGCCATTGTGCCAATGAGATACAAACAACAGGGTTATCAGAAATTATCATTTATGTGTACAAAACTTGCTTTCCAATATAGATAAATTAATAAATGTTTTTGGGTTTGTGGATGTGAATTTTGATGATTAAAAATCATGTAAAGTAAAATGGAAGAAAGAGTGAAGAGGAAGATGGTCTTTTGATTGAAAAAGATTGAAGGTGTTGGTAAAGAAACAAACAACGTCAAGACACAAGGTTGGTTGGCCCTTTCATTGCCCAGTTTCGTACTCTTTTATTTCGCCTGGTTTCTAGAGGGTGTGGGCCCAAATCTAGTACGCGCCTCACCCGTTGGGTTTTAGTTACCGTTGCCTCTGAAGCGGCGGAGCAGCTTTGCTTTTTTTGTTTTTGTTTTTTTCTGAGAAGAATACAAAAACCACTATTTTCGTCCGGAAAATTTGAGCAATAACTCTAAGGAAATCTGCGTTTCACTTCATTTCGACAGAAAGAAATCCGTATTGACTTCATAACCTGAATTTATTTGTGTCAAATTACTACTTGAAAATAAATTTAAGCTTTAGGTGGCTCTGGCATGGCTTTACAAATTTTATTTTATGTAATTTTCAGGTTGGAAAACTTCTGTTTTTTAAGAAAATTTCTAGTTTTTTTTTTATAAAAATTTAAATTTAAATTTTGATTACTTTTTAGTTTGTGAAAGTCTGAGTCATGTCCATTGAGTTAATCAAGTGTCATCCTAATAGTGGGTTGATTGAGGACAGTCCTGCTAGGCTTAAGGCTTGCTTCTCTACTGATTGATGATTACTTGGGGGCTCATAAGGCCCGCTTGATTAATGTTGTGTAGTCTTCTTGGTTGTTCTTGGGGTTCTTCCCCCCTTTTCTCACCGAAAAAAAGTATGAGTCGTGCCTTCACTGGAGGCGGGAGTAGGGGTGTAAGTTGGATTGGAAAATCCGATTCCGACCGATTCCGGTCCGAATATTTCCAAAAAAATCCGACTCCGATAAATCCGATATCCGAAAATGCTGAATCCGATATTTCCGATAAATGTCGAAAATTCCGCAATTCCGATCCGAAAAATTCCGAAGTTCTCCGAACCCATTCCGATCCGATTTTTCCAACTTGATTCCAAAAAATTCCAAGTTTCTAATAAAAATTGTATTATTTTTAGTTTATAGGTCTTATATATATGTTTCATTTCTTATTTGTTATATTTTAGTACCCACATACAAATATTCATACATACTAAACATAGGCTTGGCAAAAAAATATACTAAACATAGTAGTATATAACTTTAAGATTATGGGTAATATATAGTAATATATATTTAGCAAATATGCATAATATGTGCTTGTTATATCCAAACGTACTACAAATATGGTAAATGTAGGGAGTATCATATCATACTATTATATTTTGTATTCTATGTATGTATGTATTTTTAAAATTTTAAACTATCTTCATTTAAAATTTTAATTATAAAATTATTTTATATATACATGAAATACAACACATAAGATAAGTATGTTAAGTGAATCTTAATAATTGTAGTATTCCAATTGCCTAGAGCAATAACACTCTTTACACATGTTCATGCCCACAAGAATCTAAAACCAACGTGATGGTCACTTGACTATAACTTGAGCATCAATTGATTGATGAATGTGAATCCATCTTTAGCATTTGAATCAATAAATTTTCATTCACATGATCAGAGCATGATGATGTTTGAAGGAGAAGATTTGACTGTTTTGGATATAATTTGATTGGATTGTTTGATCATTTGACGGAGAAGGGCTTTGATCATAGACTGAAACCAAAAACGCATAAAATAAGGATAGTTGGTTTTGATATACCATCCATAGGTTTTGGATGCATAGGTGTTCTTTTTCTATGAAAGTTATTGGAGTTGTTGGAGTCCCATTTCTGAGAGTTGTTGGAATCCCACATCGATTGAGAACATAGACTTCAGATGTTTTCTTCTTTATAAATATCTTTACCCCAATTCAGTACTTGAATAGACTTCAAGTTCAGCCTACAATCTTAAGTGGGCTCGACAGGTCATTATTTAGTAGTATTTATGAAGTCTCTAGTTGGGTTTCTTAATTAATGCCTAGTTGAGCTTCTTGATAGAAAGCCTAATTGGGATCTTAATATTATTTTTTTTGTTAGTTACGTATAATATTGATATGAATTTGTTCTAAAGAATTTGAAACTTCGGAATCGGAAAGTTTCAAAAAAATTCGGAATTTTTCGGAATTGGAACAATATTATACGAATTTGTTTTGAAGAATTTGAAACTTCGGAATCGGAAAGTTCAGAAAAATTCAGGAATTTTTCGGAATCGGAATCGGAAGTGTTTAAGGAATTCCGAAAGATTTTGGACGGAAATTGGAATGGCTATTTCCGATCCGATCCGGCCGAATTGCAGCCCTAGGCGGGAGTGATAGGGAAAGGGAGGGGTTGTGGAGGTGGAAGGTAGGCGGTGGGGTAAGTGCGCTGGGGATGGGAGAGGCGAAGGGGGAATTGATAATTTTTTTATGTTTTGTTTATGTTTTTTTCAAAGTATTTTTTTGCACACATGACATATAATTGAATACTAGCATTTTCGCACGCACTTCCGAGCCTGTGAGAGGCTTTTTTTTTTTATAGATTTATTTTAGAATTAAAAAAGAATAAATAATAACGGGTTCCACTTATACCACATCGGCATTTTTAACATATTTTTTGATGGACTTGACAGCATGGGGTAAAGTGAGACGCAAAATATCGGTCAAGGGGGAAAGTAGGTCACTTTAACTTTGCTGTTTGGTACACCTCCTTGGATTGGATTGGATAGAACTATCTTAAATAACATTGGAAACCCATGTTTGGTAAAAGAGGGGACTAACTTAAATGAGACTAAATAGCACAACAGTGATCAAAACCCTTCACTCGCTGCTCTAATATAGCGAAGTTGAAAAGTGGTTCACAAAATAGCGAACTCGCTAAATAAAATAGGCGAGTCCGAACTACACCAATTTCTCCTTCTTCTTCATTTGGAACTAGATTTTCTGGATTTTTGTTTTCTGTAAACCGTATCATACCAAAAACCATACCCAATTAAACACCCATCACCACCCAACCCACTGCATAACCCAGAACCTTGGCATCTCCACCTCCCCTGCACAACCACAACATCCCTTGCACAACCGATTTCCACAGAGCCAATAATTCCATTTGAAAAAATTAAAAACCAAAGAGTGACATATTTTGGGGAAAAAAAAAAATCAAGGGATGAAGAATTTGGATTCTTGAAAATAGAAGAAGATTAATGGTGAGTTTGTAACCTTTGGAAATGTTTCTTCCCCAATTAATAGGCTATTGCGTTTCCCTCTTTCATCGCCTCTTCCAACTGTGAGCAATCCAATAGGACCCCATCATCATCATAATCATCCCCATCTTGTTCGTTTTGTTAATGCGGGTAAGAATCTGATGGCCTTAATTAGGGGCAAAGTGGGGTGATAGGGAAGAAAAGAGGCATGGTTGTGTTTGTGGAAAGCATGGCCTAAGCTGTGTGGTTTGGGGAGGTAGGCAAATGGGTTTGAGGAGGATTGTAGGTGGTGAGGTGACGGGAAGAGGAAGAAGAGAAGATATTTGTGGTTCTCTCAAATATTTTATTAGTTTATAGTTAATTAATTATTTTAGCTTAAATTTTATTTATTAATTGTTTATATCAATTATGATGTTATTATCTAGTTTTTTTAAATAGAATTTTTATTATTTTTTAGAACATAAATTAAAAAAAATACACTTGAAAATAGCTTATATATTATTATTCTAAAAAAGATATTAGAAAGCCTTTACAAAAAAATTAGAATCCTTAATTAAATATAAATATTATAATATTTATTTTTTAGTTCGACATAACACCAAACATAGGTCTTCACTATTTTTACAATCCAGCTTCTTAGTCCAATGCAGCACCAAACGTAGGTCAGTATTTAATACAGCTTAATCCAATCCAATCTAAGATAGTCCCAGGATTTAGTCCAGTTTATAACAGTCCGTCGTACCAAACGACTCTGAGAGTAAAATGAGATTTGACCATAATTTTAGGGGCATTATAGTAAATAAGCCTTTATATTATTGCTTGTAATGAAAAAAAGAAAATACAGTCAGCTAAAGAATAATATTGATGAAACTTGGTAGCTACCATTTTGTTTACCTATGCTTTAATTTAAGGGGACTGATTTTCCCACTTCCTTTTTATCCACTTACACTCTATTTTTCTAAATAAAAAGAAGTGTAGGTGAATAAAAGGGGAGTGGGAAAATCATTTACCTAATTTAATACCTACGTTTTTACCATTTTATCCTCTACTATTTAAACTATTTTCTTTTTGTAATTAAATATTTTACCAAATTTTCATTCTCTTTTTTTTTTTTTTTTTGGTAATTAAATATGGATTGTTTTTTTATTTATAAATATTAAAATACATATTCCTGTTTTTATGAGAAATAATTTTTAATTAGTTATTATTATTTTATGAAGAGTTGTCAATGGTCAAGGATTGTAGTATTTTGTCAAATACGAGCTAGGACTCCTACTCCCAAATGTTTTTTTGGAGAAAAAGGAAACCCAAAAAAACACACATTGTTTCTATTCTTACGTTATTATTGTCATTCTAGTTTTTTTATTTTTCATTTAAAGTCGATTTTCATTTTCATTTTTTTTGGTTTTCAGAAAGCTTCTAAATTCTACTCAGCCAACAAAAACAAAAACAAAAACAAAAGGAAAAGGAAAAAAGAAAAAGAAAAAACCGGGGGTCCTATGCGCAGGGATGATTATTAATTAAGGAGGTTTTATTTTTACCTTCTTATAACACTGCTTTCACTTCGGTCCGTCATACCAACTTGCCTGTAGTTGCAGAGGACTCTTCCCGCAGAGAAACGAAGCAGAAGCAGCAACAACCCACCACCACCACCAGGTGCCTTTTCCTTTCATGTCTATGATCAATACCCATAACTTATTTCAATAAGAAAATCTTAGATCTTGGAATTTTGTTGTGATATGTTGGAAGAATGCTGTTAAATTCGATGATCAGGAGAGTGCTGTAGGATATATGTACATGTTTTAATATTTTTATATCGAAGTACATTAATTGTGATTAGCCTTTGAGTTGAATTGAGGTTATGTGAGAGAGAGGAGGCGATTGATCTATGCATGATGCGAACATTTCAATCTGTTGATTTTGTATTTGAATTATGAGTTTCTGAATTTTGGGTATCTTTGTTTTTGTTTTGTGGTTGTAGATTTGGATTGTGGGTTGTTGATTTGATAAATTGAAGATTTTTTGTGAAGAAAAAAGGGGATCTTGGTCTTTGATTTCTGTGATCAATGGCAGCTCTTGTGCCTCCCCCAGGGGCACCCAGGCCCAATAACAGTAACACCCCACCACCCCCTAATTACAACCCTAACAATGCTCAGAGAAACCCTGATTCATTAGCAGATAATATGCAGAATTTGAATCTTAATAGGCAGCCTAACATGCCTAATTCTGCCCCTAGACCATCCCCTTTAGGCCAAGCACCACCTTTCCATTCATCAGCCCCTCCTGCTGGGGCTCCTGGTGCTCCGCCCCCGTTTTCTCGGCCTGGCCCTCCCCCCGCTGCACTTGCACGACCTGCAGGACCTCGATCAGGACAACCACAACCAATATTACCCCCTGCCACCTCCCCAGTAAGACCCACTGGGCCGCCTGTTGGCCAGCCTTCATCTTTTGTGTCTAGACCGCCTCCTGGGTCTTTGCCCCCTGTGGGTGGGTTAGCTCCTGCTTCTGGGCCACCTCCTAGTCCTTTCCAGACATCAGGTTTACAGAGTGGTCCAGTTTCAACACCGCTACCAGCATCAGGTCCTCGCTCAGGGCCTGGGTCTTTGCCGTTGGGTCAGAGCATGCCCCTTTCGAGTGGACCAGGTAGAATAATGAGTAATGGGCCACCAATGTTTGCTTCCGGGGCTTTGCCAGGTGGGCCCCGTTTTCCTCCGCCTGGAAATGCACCTCAACCACCCGTTGGACATCCACCAGCAATGGCAACAACAGCGGGTCCTCCTCGAACTCCAACCATGCACTCTATGCTGGGTGGCCCAGCAGTTGGTGCTCCTCAAGGTCCTACTGTTCAGCAGGCGCCACCATTTTCGGCAGCGCCACCATTTTCGGCAGCACCTCAGCCCATGCGTCCACCTCCAGGTTCTCCCTATGGCTCACAGCCATGGCCAATGCAACAAGGGCAGGTGAGTGACTTGTATTGTTTTTGAATTATTATGGAGATATCAAATTTCATAGTTAAGTTAATTGATAAAATCCAAATGAATGGCCATATAATTCTAAGGTATATTTCATATAGAAAAAGTGGTATGGTATACTGGCAATTATTTATTTATTATTTGATATAGTGATTGCGGCTTATTCTATGCAAGACCAACTTACTCCAATATAACTTAACTGAAACTAGAGAGATCAGTTTACTCCATAAGATTAGTTTAAGGGACTGACTAAGATGACACATGATTTAAATTATCTCTTAGTAGTAGACCCAAAGAAAAAGAAGTGAACTTAGTGGCTGATGAGTGCGAGTTTAGTAGCACACACCAGCGTGCACCATTGTGGACACTCATGTCTCTTTTCAAGTGAAGAAAATTCTTACCACTGGTGCTTTCAAGTTTTATTCACACTATAATGCTAAAGTATCATCACAATCTGTCTAAACTGATACTTGTAGAATCATTATTAGTTATTTCCTATAATTCTTTATCTAAAACATTATGATTTCACATGTTCAAGCATAATCTTGCAACTTATAAACTTGAACACTATGGCTTTCTTCTCTTGTTCTTTTCTTATTCATTTTGAACACTATTTTCAATTTCTTTTTTTCCTTCCACCAATGCCTTTTCAAAGTGGAATACAATAGTTGTTCTGATAGGGGGAAACAAGGATGAATACATGGATTCATTTCTTCTTACTTTGATTTGGTTCCTCAAATATACTGAATTGCATTAGGTGGCTCCACCTTCACAATTTCCTGGTTCTGCTCAACCACCTAGAATGTTTGGAATGCCGCCCCCGCCACTACCAAATCAGTCCATGACTACCATCTCACCTGCTGTTGGTCAAACTGGAGCACCTTTGGCTGGATCATCAAAGATCGATCCCAATCAAATTCCTCGGCCTGTACCAAGTTCGTCGGTGCTCATTCATGAAACTCGTCAGAGCAATCAGGCAAATCCACCTCCGGTATTTATTCATCCATAAAAACTTGAAGAAAAAAAATATTTGATTTCAATATTTTCTTTAGCTGTATTTCCTGATACTTTATGACTTCTCTACTCTCTCCCTTTTCAAATTATGTATTTTTAGTTTAATTGTCATTGCACAAATTCCTGCTACAAATTAAATTTAAGACAGGTGAAAGACTGGATATTGTCTATTATTTACTTCCTTCTGATTTTTTTTATTACTTTGAAGCCTGCTACAAGTGATTATATTGTTAGAGACAATGGGAATTGCAGTCCTCGTTACATGAGGTGCACCATCAATCAGGTTGGGGTCAAACTTTCATGGGTTGGCTGTCTGTTATATACTTAAAATACTTTTGGATCTCAATTTCAATGCAGCAATTTCATTTTTTTTTGAAATAAAAATGTAATGTTATTATGTTTTGTCAATTTACCAGATACCATGCACTGCTGATCTTTTGACAACATCAGGGATGCCGTTATCTTTGTTGGTTGAGCCTTTTGCCCTTCCTCATCCATCTGAGGAACCAATCCAAGTACTTCATCATTTCTTTTTTCCTCCATATACAACATTACTTATCATTGTAGATAACTGGTTAAAAAAAGGAAACTTTAGTCGTTTCTTCTAACGGCAAGATCATTTGTTGATCAACATGTGATTCATGAGTTCATTTTATTATAAGAAAAGGAGACTTTATTAGAACACAGTTAATAAGGTACAATATCATTGTCCAGAATTAGACAAGTAGTCCACCAAGAAGACAAAAAGAAAAAGAAATGCTGTAGATATTGAGAACCCCCAAAGAAACCCAAAATCGCACTCTTTCTGACAAAAATTTGCCTCCTCTCCAGCTTTCTTTTGTAAATTCTAGCAGTCCTTTCTATCAAGACACCTTAAAAAAGCTAATACAAAACACTTCCACTATGCTTTTGCCTTATTTCTGCCACTAAAGGCACGATATCTGTCCATAAATAATGATACACAAGAAACCGAAATCACCAAATTTTAATCAATTAAACAACCAAAAGTTGTTTCGAGCCAAAATTTTAGTACTGAACCTTTTTGTTATAGGTTGTGGATTTTGGTGAAAGTGGTCCTGTTCGATGTTCTCGTTGCAAAGGCTACATAAATCCTTTCATGAAGTTCATTGACCAAGGCAGGCGATTCATCTGTAACTTGTGTGGTGAGGGAGATTTCTGTCTGTATTATGTTTATGTAATAGTTTCAGTTTATGTAGCAGGATAAATATGGTGGTATTGAAACTTCATCAAAGAAGTGTTTATGTTCTTTACTTGTTTTTTATTTTCGTTTTTGGTTTTTTTTTTCTTCTTGTTTGTTTGTTTGTAGGTTTTCACTGTTTATTTGGCTTGGAAATGTTTTTGAACTTTTATCTGTAACATAAACATGGTGAAAAAACGTTTCAGTTTTTCAAACAATCATTTTAAATGTTCAAAAGAAGGCCGTTTGCCAAAAGTCATACCTTCTTGAGAGCATGTAATTTATCATTCCTGTTTTAGCTCTTGGAATCTTGAAGGTCTCTTCTTTGGATGTGGATTAAGGTGTACTCTGCACTATGTATATTTATGCAAAAGTGGTGATCCTACAATGTATGCCATTCTTCTGCAGGATTTACTGATGAGACTCCCCGTGACTACCACTGCAATCTGGGTCCAGATGGTAGGCGCAGAGATGCTGATGATAGGCCTGAACTATGTAGAGGAACAGTTGAATTTGTTGCTTCAAAAGAATACATGGTTAGTTTATCTGCAATTATAACTGCAGTCAGATTACCATGTTTTGTTATCCAGTATATTTTTTCCTTTTTTTCCTTTTGAGACAAATGAATGCAAATTATCCTTGGCATGTTGGTAACCTGCCAATAATGGTTACCTACATTTGCAGTGCATCCGACGGGCTCTTATGTAAGCCTTCTATTACCTTTGGACTTATTGTTAAGTCCAAAAAAGCCTTGCTTCCACCTCCTCTCTCTCTCTCTCTCTCTCTCTCTGGGTCAACTCTGGAGATTCTTGCAGGCCCAGATTGAGTGTCTATCAAATCATTGTGACATGGAGTAATTTCATGCCCTAATACTGTATTCCATTTTTATTTTGCATGCCTAACTTATCAAGGGAACAGAAGGAATGAATGTAAATCGTTTGAAGATGGAGCAACCATTGCAATACGTTATTTTCATTTATTTTTTTTATAGAGTTTTGCATAACATAAGTGTTCTCTATTGACTCGTATCGACTAATTTGAATTGGCCTTTTGAGCCCCAAGTAGAAGGGCTGTTCCCATTGTCTGTTTTTTTCAAAGACTACTGAACAACTGAACTGCTTTTGCACTAGACTTATATTCTTTTATCTGTTTCTCTTGATCATCTCATTTATGATTCGGCTTTGATAATTCAGGTGCGTGATCCTATGCCAGCTGTGTACTTCTTCCTCATCGATGTATCCATGAATGCCATACAAACTGGTGCAACTGCTGCAGCTTGCAGTGCAATCAATCAAGTTATTGCTGATCTACCAGTGAGTTATCTTGTCTATATGCATAATGTTCCTTTCTACTTTTCTTAAACAGCTTGTGATTGTGCTGTCAATTAGCTAGAGTCATTTGCTTATGTACTGAATTGCATACACATTTTCTTTGTTTATATAGTATTCCTTATGACCTGAGGCCGTTGGTAACCATATATATGTCTCTGACTATGTATGTGTGTCTTTGTGCCTCTGTGTGCATGTATGTATGTATCTTTTTATGTATGCGTATTTGCTTGGTTCATTTTCCCAAAACTGTATAGTCATTAGTGATACATTTAAATGAAACAACATTTGACTCAAGTGTTGAATTATTTATTATTGCAGGAAGGTCCTCGGACAATGGTGGGAATTGCGACTTTTGACTCCACAGTCCATTTTTACAATTTGAAACGCGCGCTGCAGCAGGTCAATAGAAATTTTCCATCCTATTATTGTCTTAAAGTCTATTCTATTTGGTTTATAGGTTTGGTTATATAAAGTGTAACTTTTGATGGATTTGGCTTCTACTTTTGGTGAACAATTATTTTGAAAAGGTTTAACACTGATAGTGAGGTCCAACATGTTTGCAGCCTTTGATGCTTATTGTTGCTGATGTACAAGATGTTTACACTCCTTTGGAGACTGATGTAGTTGTTCAACTTTCCGAGGTCAGCGGCTGTTATTTTTTCGCTTTTGTGAAATGTACTGAGTAGTTATTCAATGTTAATGAATTAAAATTTTACAACAATCATCCATAAGTCAGTTTGTCATCCAATTTATTGAATTTCTATATGCCTCTTATTAAATTTAGATTTTTGTTTTATGGATTCTTAGTGCCGTCAACATTTGGAGCAATTGTTGGACAGTATTCCGAACATGTTTCAAAACAGTAAAATTGCTGAATCGGCCTTTGGTGCAGCAATCAAGGTATGTTGTAGTGTGACACTGTTGTATGTCCTGAACTTTTTATGGTGCTTGTGGTATGCTATTTCATTTGGAAATGCAGAGCATTAAAATTGCAAATGGATATGAAAACATGCTTCGAGTATTGTTTGACAACCAAAATGCATTTGGAGTGTTTTTATTATGAGGATTTCACTAATAAACCCATTTTAGCATGACATAATATACAAAAGCCCTTATAGAGCCTATTTGGAGTGAAAAACCCAAAATTAGCCACTTGTTATTTTCTAATTGGTTCTTATACAATTTTAACACACTAAGAACCAATTAGAAGATGACTAGTGGCTAGTTTTGGGGTTTTCTCTCCAAATAGGCTCGATATGAGTTTTTGTATAATACGTCTTGCTAAAATGGGGTTTGAATAAATCTCTCTTTTATTACGAGGAGCACCGTGTCTAATCTCACTGAGAACAATTAATTGACATATTTCTCTGCTCATTTGTTGCTGTTATGGGCTTTGTGGCCTAGCTACAGGAATAATTAATACCCAATGATTTGCATTTTTTTTCTGGGATAGATTGATTGATGTGTAAATTCATAGCTTATATTCAATTTTTATCTTGTTTTCTTCCTTGCGCAGGCTGCTTTCTTGGCAATAAAGAGTACTGGAGGGAAACTTTTGGTGTTTCAGTCAGGCAAGCTCGTACCCGTGTTTCTTTATAAACAAGTTTATATATGATTTCATTCCAAGAATGAACAACTACATGTTCGGGGTTGCAGTTGCTTTCTTGTTTGGATACAAAACAAATGGCTCTGATCTGTTAAGGATCTCAAGAGATGGTGGAATGTTGCATAAACATTACTAGTCATAAGAATTGTTGGAAAATGCATATTTGTTGCATGGAGTTTCAGTCACTAAAGTTACCTTTTTTCTTATTCCTTAAAGATGAACAACCTATCTTATTCGGGAAAAAAACCAACCTAGAACATATATGTCAAAGTTTTCCATGGTCCCAGTTATCAAAGAAGTTCTTTTCTTCAGTTGTAATTTATGAATTCTCACCATGTCGTGTCGTATCTAAATGATCCAATATTCATGCTATCAGTTGAATTAAAGCCAAATGATTTAGTGATGTTGCCTCTTATATCTATTTGCCATGTATACGTTTTATAGACCAATTTTTGTAACATCTAGTTGAAGATGTGTATGCATATCCATTTTCACATTTAGCATATTCTTTATCTTTCACAGGATACCTGGTTTCTTGTCATGCATACTAATGATTTATGGTGTCTGCAGTGTTGCCATCAACTGGAATTGGAGCCCTTTCTGCTAGAGAAGCTGAAGGAAGAGCTAATATATCTTCAGCTGAGAAGGTATGAATACCTTTTATGTGTTTTCATCCTCTGTCTTTGTGTTTTAGAGTATATCACATGGTATGGTTTCTCCTTTATTCCAGTTACTATTAAGAAACCAGCGCATTGCATCCTTATTTGAGACTCCAATAGCCATATGACCTGATGACCGATCTTCTACCTCTTTTCGGGAGTCCCCCATAGCCCAATGACCCATCTCGTACCAAAGACCATGCTTGTGTTTTCTTTTATGCCTGAATTACTTCCATAGGGAAATCTGAAAAGCTACTTTATGGTTGTAGGACAGCCCATTCAAAGAGAAGAAAACAATGACAAGATTAAAGGATACAAAAAAATGAAAGGCCTTTTGCATGTGACAAAATAGAATGGTCTTTTGCTCTTTTTGTTTAATTTAGGACAAAGAAAACCAAAATTCTTGCTCCATTACTCATTTGGAAAATAAACGTTACAAAAATTTAATTAATAATTATGTATCTCAAAAGGGAACAAATTATAAATAAATAAAAAAAATCTTATTTTGTAATTTATGTTGACATATCAAATTAGGAAGCCCTCGTGTGTAACTTTTGCCTTTGGCCTCACTTTTCTTTGTACCATGTTGCAGCCTATCCTGCGTTTTAATTACATATATCCAGTTAATAGGAATTACATACATTTTAAAAGATTTCTCCAATTTCTGAACCCCTCGAGAGGATTTGGCGAATTAGGTGGCCACGTAGATGGGGTTGGACTGATTATTTCCAAAGAAATTTACATGTCAGGTCTTTGTTGATTTGAATATGCTAAGTGGTGATAATTATCATCCGATCAATTTTACTTTCTGTTGAGCTGTCTGTTCAAATGAATGATCTTGTAATTTTGTTTTCTTTATTTAACTATATTTCAGGAGGCCCATAAATTACTCCAGCCAGCAGACAAAACTTTAAAAACTATGGCAATTGAGTTTGCTGAATATCAGGTGAATGTTTGACTAATTTCTTTTCACTTAATAATCAGTTAATATATTGATGTGAGTTATTTGCTGACTGAGACTTTTATTGGTAATTAGCAAATTGTTGTGCGTAATTTGTTTGGATTTTTTTTTTCATGAATTGCTCCAGGTTTGTGTTGACTTATTTATCACTACCCAGTCATACATAGACATAGCTTCTATCGCTGTCATCCCAAGAACAACTGGAGGGCAGGTACTACTGAATTTTCTTTTATCAATGCCATACATCTAACATCACAATTTCTACCTGTTCTGATCTTGTTAAGGGTTTTGTCTTATGATTTTTCTAGTTTCTTCATATTTTTGTTTTTCTTGAACTACACATCCAACTCAAGCATAAATCTGTAAAATCAGATTTGAGAAGCATTTGAGAATTGTAACTAAAGATCATTTACACGGAAGTCTAACTGCATGCATTTCCTTCTTTTCCTTTGACCTTTTACTTTTGAGGATTTAACTTCAATGCTTTGTTTTCCTCATCTTCCAGGTTTATTATTATTATCCCTTCTCAGCTGTCTCCGATCCTGCAAAGCTCTACAATGATCTTAGATGGAATGTCACAAGGCCCCAGGGTTTTGAGGCGGTGATGCGTGTAAGATGCAGCCAGGTAATTTTATTGAACAACCTCTTTCTCCAGTATTATATTATGATTGCTTGTGTTCTTACAAATTGATTATTCTAGTAAGCTAATTTTGTTTTCATCATTTGTAGGGCATTCAAGTTCAAGAGTACCATGGAAGCTTTTGTAAACGTATTCCTACGGATGTTGACCTACCTGGGGTTCGTACATATTCTACAAAATCCCTGATTGCGAACACATTATGTCTCTTACTTATCATTTATCTTCCATGGAAGTAGAATGCCCCTCAACCCCTGATTATGTTGACTATTGCTCATTTATTTAATTATTGTTTTCTGGTTTTCATTCTCATTCGCTGCTCTCTCTCTCCTTATCCTTTTTTCCTTTTCCTTGGAAAGAGTGAGAGTGGCTTTAATACTGTTTGTTGAAATCATGACCAATCCTTTCTATCGTGCAGATTGACTGTGACAAAACTATTATGGTGACCTTAAAACACGATGATAAGTTACAGGATGGCTCAGAATGTGCTTTCCAGGTAAATTCCAATTTTTCTGCTCTCTGCGGCTCTGCCTAAGGCTTCCAATGCAGTAATATAATATAATACTTTTTGACCTTTTGCTTATATCTGTTATCATACCACTGAGTTGACATCACCTACCTCTGCAGCTGTATGTCTATTTCATTGTTTAATTATATTTGTGCATCTCAATGTCCAGTGTGCCCTTTTATACACGACTGTGTATGGCCAACGGAGAATTCGAGTTACAACGTTGTCTCTGCCATGCACAAGTATGCTAAGTAATCTGTTTCGTGCTGCTGACTTGGACACTCAATTTGCATGTTTCATGAAGCAAGGTATACAATTGTATGCGGTTATTCTTGTTATGATCCTTTCATAATTTATAACTATTGTTTTCCTCAGTTAAACCCAGAGCTTAAATTTGTGAATTTATATACGAAAATCATTATCTTTAACATTTGTCTTTCATCATTCCCATCTGACTGATTTGAATGCGCATGTAAAATTATATTTCTCTATGTTCATTTCAATTGCTTGCTACATCCTGCCAATATATTATTTTTAGGGTTGGAGTTTGTTGTGACATTCATCTAATTTCATTTGGAAGATTTCTGACAATAAGTCCTTTTTGTATATTGTGTACAGCGGCAAATGAAATTCCTTTAAGTGCCCTCTTGCGTGTACGGGAACAAGTGACAAATCTGTGCATCAGTAGTCTGCTTTCATATCGTAAATTCTGTGCTACTGTATCATCTTCTGGACAGCTTATTCTTCCAGAGGCACTGAAGCTCCTGCCTCTATACACCCTCGGTATATTCTTTTTGGCATATATACTTATACCAACTTATATGAATGTAAGAACAAGTGAGTTCCAGCTTCTTCCTCCTTTTTGCACAAAATGCACCAGTGAGAAGACAGTTGGATCTTTTTCTTTGAACCAAATCACAAAGTGTTTGTTTTTCCATGAGCTATGATCCAATCAGACCCCAAAAAATGTCCCTTCGGAGTAATACTGGACTTCTGAATCATTTTATCTGGCTGGAACACAGCAAGGGACTACTTATCACACTGAAAGCGTTTCTGTTCTGGTTGATAAAATGTTTTTAAAGAACAGCATACCTCTCCATTGCACAAACATATTTCGCAGAATTATCAGTCAGCTTCTTAAAGAAAGTTTGTACAATATATTGATGATTGTCATGCTCATGTTCCTTTGTCAGCATTAATCAAAAGTACAGGGCTACGAACTGAAGGAAAAATAGACGAACGGTCCTTCTGGATCAACCATGTTTCTTCCCTTTCTGTTCCTTTGGCAGTGCCACTGGTTTACCCCAGAATGGTGGCCATTCATGACCTTGACTCGAAAAAGGTGTGTCATTTAACTTCTTGTATGATGCTTTAAAATATGAATTTTACATCACTGGTAGCTTCCCGTTAATTTACAGGAGGGTGACGAATCTCCTATTCCTCCGGTTATTCCGCTTTCTAGCGAACACGTGAGTGATGAAGGAATTTATCTTCTTGAGAATGGTGAGGACTGTTTTATATTTGTGGGGAACTTGGTGGATTCTAGCATTTTGCAACAACTTTTTGGCATCACCTCTGCTGATGAACTTCCTACTCAGGTAACCTTATGATTTATCTTTTTGGTTACTTATATTCTGCTTGACATAATTGTAAATTACAATCTTAGCCTCATGCCTCAGGTGTTGAGTTTGAACTTGATTCCCTGGGACCTGTTTTGGTTCACTAGAATGAGGGAGCCTGGGTGCTTATTTCATTATTCTTTATTTTTTTGTATTGTTCCATTAATAGTCTTGATTATACGTTATGATTGTTTAGATTTTGATAAACGTGGATTTTGTAATCTGTGTGTGTCAGTTGAATTTATTCTATTTTCTGTGTAAATTATCATTTTTTAACTTGTAAGTTCTTTTGCCCAGTATGTGCTGCAGCAGTATGATAATCCATTATCGAAGAAGCTGAATGAAGTGGTAAATGAAATACGGCGACAGAGATGTTCCTACCTTCGGTATGATTGATACTGTTTCCGTTAGTGATTTCTTATCCGCAAGGAAGAAAAGGATTAAAGCATTTGAATTCAGTTTTTGATATTTTCATGTAAAGTAATGATTTGTAATTTGTCTTGTTTTTCTGCAGCTTAAAATTGTGTAAGAAAGGAGATCCATCAGGTGAGTGCATTAGAACCACCGTATATAAAGCAAACTGAATGAGACAACTACTATCCCTACAGCTTGTCTGTTGCGAAGTAGATAATTTTAATACTACATATATATAAGTAACTAGTTAACTACAGTAATAGCATCCTTTCAACCTTCAGAAGATAAGTTGTGGATGACTAAGACGAAACTTGTCTTTGAAAAAGAATCTGACAGAATATCTGATGTTCGGGCTGAGATACTATTACTTAAGTGAACTATTTAACATAGTTAACATTATTATTCAGTAGAAGGCATTAAGATAAAGAAATCTTATTAAATGGTTTGATTAAGTATTGTATTCTCTTTCCCTGTAGGAACATTATTTTTCTCTTATATGGTCGAAGACCAGAGCCCCAATGGCCCCTCCTATGTTGAGTTTCTCGTACATGTCCACCGGCAAATACAGATAAAAATGGCGTCATGACTGCTTATAGTTCGTCAGTTTGAATTACAAGTTTTGAGCAACTTCTTGCTAGAGTACACATGGATTCAAAGGATAGAAGAAAAATTAGGTGCTTGCTAGCTGTACACATGCACTCTGGGAACATCCCACCGGTTATATTTATGTGAAGAGTAAGCAGAGCTGAGTTTTGGTATGATAGAGGTTTGTTAAATTGCCATTGACATTCTTAGTAGACAATACTGCTAATAAATACAAAGCTTATTATTGTATTTAAGTTGCTCCAACCCACTTCTTTTCTCCTCTCTGATATTTTGCTTTTCATTTTATTGATGTACTATGAGAACCAGACATGTGAAAAAGATTGTAAGAATTGTTGGCTCTTCTGATAATCCTTGTAAGTTATGGTGGGAGAAAGAGAAATGTATAAACAGGTTGGTTCTACAAATGTTGGAGCTTCTACTTCTGTTTTTGTTTTGTTTTTTGGGGTCGCATTCTACTGTGTGATTGGACTGGGAGCTTTGAGCAATACCAAATTCTACGTGACTTTTAAGATTCAATATTAGCTTTTTAGTTTATATTTTTATTACATGATTTGCCACTTAGGCAATGACAATTTCTCCAGCAAAATCTGCCGACCATCCTGGGTGACATTTTCCGTCCGACTCCACTGACTGGCTTTCCTCTACTCCACTGACTGGCTTTCCTCTACTCGCCCGACACGACTAAGTGACATTAGCAGGATGAAACTTCCCACCTCAAAAATAACACACAACCACTTTCCCAGGGTACTTTGAATGATATTTATGCTTGAATACCATTTAATTTTTAATTTTTCATAACGTTCATTCTAACTTTAATTTGCGTGTGGATCCAAAAGCGTGTGGTCTTGAACTCTACATAAATAGACCAATTTCACGTCTTGAAGTTTAGAAACGTAAGCCCTCGTATTAACACATGTTCTAACTTTAATTATCAAGCCCCTTTTAGCATAAATCAAATGCATCCTAAAAGAATCAACCCTAACTCCAAGCTTAATTAGCTTAATTAGAGTTTAGTTCTCAAATTCTTTCAAACTTTTTTTTTCTCAATATTTTTAATCTCGTTTGTGACAGTTGATTACTTCAACTTTAGGATGTGGAATTGTTCTACAAGTTCGGACTTTTGGGTTCAAAAGTCGAGAAAACTTAAAATCTAACTGAGAAATATATACCAATTGACCAATAAAAGAAAAAGAAAAATTACACTTCTAGTCAATAGACTAGGGCATCCGAACAATAATCATATATAAAACATTCAGTTAAGAGAACATCTGTATATAGCAATGTTTGATTCTTACATAAATTCTGACAGTACATGGGCAATTTCGTCAACTCAAAACCCTTAAGCATAAAAGCTTGTTTGAAACTCTCCCTATTTCATATTAGGGCTTGAAATTGGCCATTTGAGTTTAGAGTTCTTTAAAAATCAGGATTAGTTGTTGAATTTTTTGCCCTAATATGAAATGGGGAGTATTTTAGATGAGCTTTTACACTCAAGGGTTTTGCATTGACAAAATTGCACCTTGTATCGTCCAAAAAATTGACAAAAATACTACAAGTATAGGGTTTTGGGTTTCAACAGTGGTTGAAGTGTGAAACTACAAGACCAAAAGTGACTTTTAACCTTAAATCATCTTTTTTCGGGGGTGACAGCATCCATTAGCTTTTGTTGTCTCTTTCTTTTTTTGGTCAAATTATTTTTGTTGTCGGATAGTGTTAACTTTGCAAATTATTTTCTCCGTACGCGTCATCGCCATCTTCTTCCGTAGCTTACAATTATTAGGGTTCACAGAGAGAGAGAGAGAGCAACCGCAATCGGACTATTAGGGTTAGGGTTTTGGAGCCATAACCAAACCTTTCGGAGGCGCTGTTGGCCATTTGCCTCAATTCATAGTAATGTCATTCCTCGAAGAATTTAACGCCAGTAATCTCTCTCTCTCTCTCTCTCTCTCTCTCTCTCTCTCTCGCTCTTTCCCCAATTTTACGGTCATAACAATTCATCAGTCGAAAGACTTTTCTCTTAAATTTCAGCAGCAATTTTGATTATGTGCAAACCTTTCCTTTGTGTATCAAATTTTGTGTTCGAGTAAATTGATTAAGAAAATTGGGCTTGAAGCTTTGTGTGATATAAAGGTGTTATGTTGGGTTTCAAAGTTTGAATCTTTTGTGAATTGAGGATCCAGTCCTATTTGATCAAATGGAAAGAAGAACTTAATTTGAAGAAATGTACAGAGGAACAAATTAAAGAAAACAAAGCAACACATCATATGAATATGAATAACAGTCTTAACAACACTCTTGATTTCGTAAAAATAGATGTAAAACCAAAGCCCATAATGAATCGAAAAACAGGAATCTTCTCCACAGAACTTCAGACTCTGCTTCTTTTTCTTCGAAACTCTATTACTTCTTCCATTCCAACGAATCCAAAGTAATGCTTTCACTGCACACCTCCATAAAATTCTACCTTCCTTGTCTTCCCAAAACCTCCAAAATACATGCTAACGATACGAGTAAATGCAAATTACTGTATAGGAGAGAAACTCTTCATAGATACCACTTTTTCATTCTGTTTTCACTATCTTCAAATTGTTACTGTATTTCCCGTTTCGCAGATCTGGAATCTCTACCTAATATTTTGGCAAGGCATTATGCAGTGCTGCGTAATCTAGATAAGAGTTTACAAGGTATGATTTTGCCTACTTTAGCTGTTTAGTGCTATTGTCATCTTTTTTTAATTTTACATTCACCACTACTTTGGATCCCATGAAGTACAAAAAGTAGGAACGAGGAAACATAAGAAAGTGACAGATTCAAATTGAGAACCCATATATGGCCAGTGGCTCATCTAACGAAGCTATGGATGGGAAGACAACAAAGAAAATGCAAGCATAACTAATGTACATATTCAGTCAGTTGTGGATACATTAGTCACAGTTATGTTCTTCCCTTAGATAGTTGTGAAGACATGGCACGCCAGATATGTGATTGAACAAAAAATTCATGTGTACCACAAAATGGAGTTGGTTATAGTTATGTTTGTGGTTTAAGTGTTCCTTTGAAACTTACGTTTTCACCATTTTTCTTTGTACTGTGAACCCGCTCTAACATTGAAGGAATGCTATTTATATTTATTCTGGTTGGGGATGGGGAGTGGGACATGTCTTGTAGAATTGTCTCCCGACACTTTCCATCTTTTTTTCTTCTTGTATTACGCACTCTTTGCATTATGAAAATATATTAAAATCTGTAAAAGTTGTGCATGTAGTTACTCAAATTTTGTCACATCTCTTTCTTGGGGTTCTCAAGTAAACTATTTGTTTTTCTATAAACAGATATTCAGAGGCAAAATGAACAACGCTGTGAACAAGAAATAGAGGACATTAAGCGTGAAATTAAGTCTGGAAATATTACACCTGATACATCCCTTATTAGATTCTCGGATGAGGCTCTTGATGAGCAAAAGCACAGCATTGGCATTGCAGATGAAAAGGTTATGTTGGCTGTTCGGGCATATGATTTGGTACGTGGCTGCTCCATCTTGCCCTATACATATGATTACCGAATATTGACCCAAAAAAAAGATGATCACCGAATTGATTGGTTATTTTGCCAGGTTTTAGAGATTTTGTGATCTCTGAATATTTATTTGAAATTTTGTAATGATGTTCAGGTGGATACACACATACAACAACTTGATCAATATTTAAAAACTTTTGAGGAAGAGCTGCGTGGTACTATACTTTTATTCTTTTTCCAACTTGTTGAGTCTTTGATTTTTACACATTTAAGACTACACTTTTGGAGTCCTTTATTTGTAGTCAAGACAACACTGAGAGGTTTCGTTATCTTGAGGACATAATAATTTCCACCTTGGTTATGTGTGTTCCCTAATTTTGTTTGGTGAAATGGTTCATGGCAGAAAGAGATACTGTTGCTGCAAGCGCATTGCCTGCTCCAAGTGCCGATACAGGTGCAAAACCCGGAAGGAGTAGTGAAGGTGGTAGAGGAGGGCGTAAGAAGTATCTACCTATTCTTGATGTTTTATTTATATTCTTTTCAGTCGAGTTTCTGATTTCATGCTTCTACCAGATTTTCCCTTTTCAATTGAGTTATCATTAACCATCCCAGAGAGAATTCATGATTGAGTTATAAATGATAGTTCTTTATATTACTGTTATTTTTACTGAATCTATGGGGTTATAAAACTCATTTCCTACATTCATGAGTTCAGAATGTTTCCAAATTAAGGTTTGATCATGCTTGGTTGGTGGGAGATGCGAAAATTATTCTCATTTTGTTTTCTCTGGAACCTAGTGATGCTTTTTTTTTGCTCTCCAGAACAAGACTGGCAACAGCAACGGCGGCAACAGCAACTGCAGCTGTCAATCCTACTGCTATGGATTTAGATATACCAGTGGATCCAAATGAACCCACGTACTGTTTATGTAACCAAGTTAGCTATGGAGAGATGGTTGCGTGTGAGAACCCCAATGTATATAATTTTCTCCTTGTTTACATTTGTCTTGTTTAAGACGCATCCTTTAAACTTTATTATCTAATTTAGTCTTTGCTTCCGACAGTGCAAGGTAGAATGGTTCCATTTTGGGTGTGTTGGTCTGAAAGACAAACCAAAAGGGAAGTGGTACTGTCCAGATTGCGCGGCATTGAAAAATCGCCGCAAGGGCAGATGATTCTAAGAACTTGTTCCAGGAACCTTCTTGTAGTCATGATCTAAACCCTAGTACCTTGTTTAGTTTGTAACATTTTATTTGTATTGACTAGACAAATTCTGTATAAAAATACTTTAGGATTACCGAGTCGCTCATTTTTATTGCTTTCAGCACATGAGGATGCGTACCATTTTGTATTATGGAACTCAAGCCGGTAGCAGTCCCTGACAAAAGAGCCATTGTTGCTTTCCACAGATTTATATTGAATTTTCAAGAGTTAAATAAAGAAATGAGCCTTATTAGCATCATTTTTTTTTTCTGTATTCGAATTCGCCATCTGCAGGCACAGGTTTTGTAAGTGACAGATGAAAGTAATAATGTCATTTTATGTTTTGATTAATTGGCAGTATTACAATTTAAGTCCCCTTCAATTAAGCTTCAAACTCCTACAACCCTACAAGATGTTTCAAATGTTGAATGCAAGAGAAGCAAGATGAGATATGGCCAAAAATGTAAGATTAACCTTATCAAACCCTCTATACCTTCGCTGCGAGAAAAAAAAAAGGAGGAAAAAACAACTCAACATGACCAAACTACTATGGCAAGAAAATAGTTTTTATTTGAAAAGAATAATTGGTACATTCGAATTCTCCCCTGCAATAACAAGTTTTATCCTGAATTAGAGGAGCTACCTACACGCTGATCTCTCTCTCTCTCTAGCGCTATGACTACACGATGCCTTGCAACCAAAACTAACCCAAGATAAAATTACACCCTGTTTTTTTATTTTACATGCAGATTTTGTGGACTCAATCAGGGGTGGGTTGTCAAATGAGTGTAAAATTGGGAGGAGCCTCAATAATCCATTCCACCCATGCCACCACCCATTGCTGGAGTCTCCTTATCACTGGGAAGTTCAACTACAACAGCTTCAGTAGTTGTCAGCAAAGACGACACGCTGCACACAAAAGGCAACAAAAATCAATGGATGAGGAATCGGAGCTGAAGCTAATCCTTAAGTTAATAGTAAACATAGAGGATGTCTCAGGCGTACCTTGCAGCATCGACTAAAGCAGTTCTAATTACTTTCAATGGATCTATTATTCCGGACTTGACCATATCAACATATTCACCTGGTTAGGCCAAAGGAAAAGCAAAACCAACCAAAATGAGTAAAGAGTGTAGATATATAGTTTTCCGAACTGTTAGGGGCAAATAAAAGGACTATTGTGGAAGCATCTCCTACCTTTAGCTGCATCGTAGCCAAGATCAGGGTTATCTTGCTCCAATAGCTTACCGACAACAACAGCTCCCTCCACTCCAGCATTAGAAGCAATTGTATGGACAGGTGCCTGCATGGTCAATACATGACTTAGAACATGGAGCAAAATAGAGCAAAAGTATGCAAGTAAAACTAAAAAATACATTACTTCAAATGCAATGAATCATAGAAGTCAAACTTAAGACACCAGTAGAAGATACCAACCTTCAGAGCATTCTGAATAATCTGAACTCCAATCTTCTGGTCAAAGTTAGCAGTCGGGAGTTTTTCCAACTCTTTCGATGCATAAAGAAGAGCAACGCCACCACCTGTAAATGGAAGACAGTTTTAAGATTGTCTATCGAACTTGATCCAACCAGATAAATCAGGACAAATTGAGTACACAAACAGGCGACAGACTTTGTGCCAACTGGCATATCTTCATCACTCTGGATGCAATTGCATCTAAGTCTCTTAGGTCTGTAAATCAACTTGACACGCAAAAGTGGGCAAACTGACAAAATAGATTACCTGGTAGTATACCCTCTTCAACGGCTGCCTTGGTGGCATTTAAGGCATCAGTAACTCTATCCTTCTTCTCACCAACTTCAGTTTCGCTAGCTCCTCCAATCTGCAAAATAAGCAAATCTCAGACTGTTTTATCTACAAGTGGCGACATGTGCAATAAATACAGGATAAGGAAGCTCAAACTATTTTTGGCTTTACTTTTATTTATTTTATTATTATTATTTTCCAAGGGGTAAAATGAGGAGGAAATCATAAGACCGTATCAAGACTGATTACTAGAGCTGTGATGACGAAATGCAGAAGAAATAAATAGTTTACTAGACATAGAATGTGAGCCTTAATATATATGACAGCAAACAGACCTTCAAAACAGCAACACCACCAGAAAGCTTTGCCAGTCTCTCCTGTAACTTTTCCTTGTCATAATCGGAAGTACTTAATTCAATGGCCGATCTAATCTGTAACAAAATAGGAGATAAAGGTTATGTACAGATCTGAAATCATAGCTGCAGATGATTCTCAATTAACAAAGAGGAAAAACATTTTCTTTTATACCTTCTGTTTTGAAATATATAACAAAATGCAAACCATTGATGACAACAGTTACAAATTGGACTAACACTATTTCACAAGGAAGCAACAGTAACCTGTTCAGATCTTTCATCAATAGCCTTCTTGTCACCAGCACCATCAAGAATTACAGTGTCATCTTTTGAAATTGTGACCTGTAGCATAAACCCATTCGTTAGGAGAGCGGAGGAAAAACTAGATATGGAAAAATAGCATTAAATTGAATGGGAAACTCCATTAATCCAAATCCACAGGCGACTTGTGTGTCAACAGATATTTCAACACAAAGTGAAAGTTCTCCTCATCAAAGAACTACATGTCATGGTTAGGCTGACAACGCAAACAAAAACTCAAGTATAACAAAGCTCACCTTTTTGCAAGTGCCGAGCATATCCAATTCCACTTTGTCAAGATTCAGACCAAGCTCCTCGGTAATAAGCTAAAATACAAAAGAGATGTCATTTTCGGGTCAAGAAAAATCCAAAAGAGATGCAATTGATTAGGTCAGGCAATAATAATACAAAGCTAAATAAACTTACAGAACCCCCAGTGAGGGCGGCAAGATCCTGCAGACTGGATTTCCTATTTTCACCAAAACCAGGGGCTTTGATTGCACAGACCTGTAGCAAATCACATTAGATTAGCAAATGCTGACTTCCCTACACAAAGAACCAAATGATTACATAGGAAAGAAAAAAGAACCTCAAACAGGAGCATAAAAACGATTGAAAGCAAACCTTGATTCCAGCACGAAGCTTATTTAGAATAAGGGTTGCCAGTGCTTCGCTCTCCACATCTTCGGCGACAATCAGCAAAGGCCTTTGCTTCTGAAAAGGAGGAGCAAAAGTTTGTCAACCAATTCATAGTAAAAATAAACTAGTGAACCTAACCAGACAAATGCTAACCTGCAAAGCCAACTCCAATATTTTCACCACAGCATTAATACTTGAGATTTTCTTCTCATGGATCACAATTAGAGGATTTTCCAATTCCTATCAGCACATACACAAGTTTGAAGATAATCAGCATCAAGGAAAAAGGGACTTGAGGTGCTGCTAACTTTAACAAGCAGCCCTCTAACAGTTTCAAGACATAGTCATTGCTGAGTCAAACTTAAACTTACACATTTCTGATTTTTCTGGTTGGTGATGAAATAAGGGGATATGTAGCCCCTGTCTAGCTTCATTCCCTCAACAACCTCCAACTCATTGTCCAATGTTTTCCCATCCTACAAAAATTAACATAGTGTTACGCTTACATGTCTTGGGTATCATTTGGGAATAAAAAAACTAAAATAAAATTATTTGAAGTAGTCCTACTTCCATTTCCCTATGATTATTTTACTATTATGACTCAAATCTAGACATGAATAACATAAGATGCAAGCATCACCCACTTCTGCATACAACTCAAGCTAAGCATGACTTAGACCATATAAACAGCACCAACAAAAGTTAACATACCGAGATTGTGATTACACCCTCTTTGCCAACCTTCTCCATGGCCTTTGCAATCAACTCACCAATTTCTCTCTCTCCATTTGCAGATATTGTTCCAACCTATCAGAGTTGAATTACATTACTTTCAAATCCTAGGAACAAAAAGAATTATATTGAAGATAAACATGGCTTTACAAGAAAGACCAGAAAATAATAAACATACCTGTGCTATCTCTTCAGAAGTGCTGATCATTCTTGCTCTGCTCTTCAAGTTTGTTACCACAGAATCAACTGCCATAGTAATACCGCGTCGCAAGTCCATTGCATTCATCCCCGCAGCAACTGACTTGCATCCTTCGGTGTAAATGGCTCTGGTCAGGATTGTAGCACAAGTAGTGCCTGCAAGAACAATGGAAATTTGTAATTGCTCAGGTAGAGAGATATTGAGCAATATCGATGCATTACTACATAAGCTTCAATTCCACTTAAAAAACTGAACCTTCTACCCTGCTTTTCAATTATGCAAATCAATCCAATTACAAATTAAAAATATTGTTACATACTGATGAGGGAAACAACATATACGAGCATAAGACTTACCGTCACCCGCTACATCATTGGTGGCATTAGCAACCTGTTTCACCAGGCTAGCACCAACATTCTTGATTTTATCCTTGAACTCTATACTTTTTGCAACAGTTACACCATCTTTTGTTACTTTGGGTGCACCAAAGCTTTGTTCAATAACCACATGACGCCCCTTTCATAGAAAAAAGACAACCATGTCAGTTTTTTTAAAAATATATAAGAAAAGGAAAATACAAGAACACAACATATCAATTGATTTAAACTATGAAAAGTATGAAAATGAGCAAGACAATTAAATAGAAGCAAATGGCTAAATCTATATTCTATTGACAAGGAAAACAGATACGGGGAACTATTAAAGGCCTTTGAGCTCTTTGATTCTCAATGTTTTTTTTTCCAACCGTTTGATTGTATATAATAAAAAAAAGTAGAATTTGAGAGAAACATATGGCAATCAAGCTTCTTTCCATGAGTGCTGTGAAATAGCTCCCTCAAGTACAAGCTATAAACATTTCCCAAGCCTCCAATTGGTCTTTACCTTCACATCTACAAAGACCAAAACATTTTGAAAAGCTTCACCTACTTCCATTGCCAAATTTATTAAAAATACTACAGGAGTTTAGGAACCAGTAGATTCATTCACATTACCCAATATGAGTAAAACACCACCACATACACATGTCAACCAGTACACTGTATTGCCAAGTTGGACATCATACATTCATAAAATCATTGGATTGCACCTAATGCAAACTGAGCACACTAATAACTTAAATTCTCAATACTATGTAAGATCAAAAGATTGCACTAATAAATGCAAAGAGTCAATGTGATAGGTAAACAGCAGAAATATAATACGAATAGCAGCGTAGCACAAAACAGTGGGATGTGGTAGAACCTTAGGGCCCATGGTGACTTTGACAGCATCGGCAAGATCTTCGACACCATTGAGCATGAGGGCTCGGGCCTCCACCCCAAATTTTATGTCTTTGGCTGCATAATTTCTACTCCAACTCAACGTACCACCAATCTGAACGAAAACCAAAAACACAAAAAACACATTAAAAATAATTCTTTTAAACAGAGAAAGCTTCGCATTGCTTCAACCAATAGACCCTTTAAAGCACACATCCAGACGAACCTGCTTGGAGCAGTTCCTAGCAACTCTGCAAACCCAAAAAAATAAAATCGAAATTAGTAAAAACCAAAAGGAAAAATATTCTCACTGGAGAAAAATAAAGTGTAAATTTTGAATTTTATGTTTTCATGCTGACTTATCTTACTGGATTCCACAAGTTTGGAATTGTACATTAAAAATGAAAATCAACATCCTTTTCATTTCCTTTACGTTTCGTGATGAACAAACGAGACAAGTGAGAAAATAAAGAGAACCCGGAGAAGATAAAAGGGAAAAGATAGCAGAAAATAGTGGAAAGTACCGAGCTTTGGATGCGAGGCTTGAAGCAAAACGATACATACTGAGATTGCAGAGTGACAGAGGCAGAGAGAGTGATAGAAAGAGAGAGAAAGTGCACGAACTGAGGGAGATGGTTGGGAGAGAGTGCTTATTAAGCGTAAGGAAGAGTCTAGAAGTAGGGTTTTAGGGTTTTACGGTCTTCACAAGTCACAAGACGAACTATCGCAGTTACATTTTTGAAAGGAAATTGATTGGACTTGGACTTGGAGCTGTGAAAGCCAGCTAAGGTTCTAGTAAAAGCCCATATAATCCACCCAGCTAGATGCAGTAAATAGTAAAATACGACCGTAGTGGTGAAATTAAAAGTGTGCGGCACTTGCTTCCGGTTTGAACTCCATGGTATCTTAGTTGAATGAATGTACGAGAAACCTTCTTTTTTTGTAGTTTAGACTATCACTTGCACACAAAATAAAAATGTGTGTGATTCGATTTGGTTCAATTTAGATTTATAATTTTATACAGAATTAATATAGATCACAATTTAAATTTGTTCAATTTAATGCTAAACTTGTAACATAATAAAATCATGCTAATCTACTCATTGACGATTCAGTTATGTTTGATTCGATGTATGTCTCAAATCTTACACAGAAATAATATAACCTCACATTTAAATTGGTTTGATTAAACCTTGAACTTGTAACATAATAAAATCAAACTAATCCACGTATTTACGATTTAGTTCGATAGTTTTTCATGTTGGATAAGAAAGAAAAGAAAACGGACTAAATTGAATCGATCAGTCTAGTTCGGTTGATTTGGCCGGGTTACGGTTTAAGATGCCCAGCTTAGGATTAGGAGAAATAGGGGTCGTTTGGCACGGCGGACTGTCATGGACTGGATTAAATCCTAGGACTGTCTCGGATTAACTTGGATTGGCCTAAGCTGGATTAAGTCCTGACCTACGTTTGGTGCTGCGTCGGACTAAGAAGCTGGATTGTAAAAATAGTGAAGACCTATGTTTGGTGTTGTGTCGGACTAAAAAATAATTATTTTAATATTTAATTTTAATTAAAAAAATAAAATTCTAATATTTAATTTTAATTAAAGATTGCTAAAACTATCTTATCTCTTCTTCTTCTTCTTTTTTTCTTCTCTTTTTTCTCCTTTTCTTCTTCCTCTCCTTCCCAGCCCGTTTCTTTCTCTCATTTTTTTTTTTTTTTTTTACTTTTCTTCCTTTCTTCCTCTCTTCTTCTTCCTTCCCAGGCCATCCCCTTTTTTTTTTTTCCCTTTCTTCTTCTCTTCTTCT